GCCACCGGGCCCTCTGACCACCACCAGTAGGCAACGGGTGAAGTGTCTTGCCCAAGGACACAACGACCGAGACTGTCAGAGCCAGGGCTCAAACCGGCAACCTTCCGTTTACAAGGCGAACTCCCAACTCTTGAGCCACGATCTGTAAGTCAACATTTTAACAACCGGCCTGAAGATGGACTTTAAAAGAAGCACTGATGTGTTTTTTGGTATTTTTTGTTTTTGTTTTTCCTAAAAAAAATTTAAAGAGCAGGAAATGTGGTTTTGATATTTTAAAAAAATTCTGAATTAAGTAAGACAATTATGATGAGGAAATACACAGTGCTGTGCAAGTCTTGAGTTACCCTCTTCATTTTTTACATGTGGTTAAAAGTGCTCAAAGTGCTCTGAAGCAATAGTTCTCGAGGTTTCTGAATGACTGGACATTAGCTGCCTTTCCACTCTCATTTCCAGTCCCAGCCTTGTACCAGATCATTTCCAGAGTGATTTTTTGTTTGTTTGATTCGTAAACCATTAAACACCGACCGCTGAAGCACCCAAGTATAAAAAGGACACCTAACACCTAACTAATTTCTTCCCATTTCTTTAGCTGAAGTTATGAAAAATTACAGCAATAACACAGTTTGACAGTCCGAGTATTTTGGACCAACAAGGTAATTGCCTAATGGGCTATTAGCAGACAATTTGGCATATCTCAGTATACTGGGCAGTGTGTCCTTAAAAACATGACCTGACAAGACCAGGCCTGAAAAGACAGCAGACGAACAATACCTGAACATCATATCTATAAGAAATGGGAAAATAATGCGCAGACTTAAAATAAGACCTGAGAGATCTATTCAAGCCTTCAACTGATCCATCTACTGTTCATTAATAACTGTCAAGAAACCATCTTAATGAAGAGAAACAGGGAGAAAAGTCTGAGACGCACCAAATTATACAAGAAGAAGCTGCAACAGTTTTTACATAGTGATGAGTCCAAATTTGAAATTTCTGGTGCAAATCATCATCGGTGTGTATGGAGGTAGTCAGAATAGAGGTACAACCGTGAGTTTCTGTAGCCATCTGGAAACCAATCTAGAGACTCTGTCATGGTTCGAGGCTACATTACGGCCAGTGGTGTTCGGGATATTGTAAAAATTTTAGAGTGCTCCACTGCAAAGCATCTGATTGGCAAAATCTTCATTTTTCAGCATGAAGACCTCAACATTATTGAAGCAGTGTGGGATCATGTGAAGCAGCCAACATCCAAAGAAGAGCTTTGAATGCTCTTCAAGAAGCCTGGAGATTATTCCTGAAGACTACTTACAGAAATGGGAGGAAAGCTTGGCTCAGAATAAAGGTGTTCAGACTAAATATTGACTTTCAAGCTCCTTAGTTTCCAAAAAACGACTGCACCTTTTTCCCATTACCGTACATACATGTGCGTCCATGTATTAAAAGAAGAAAACCTAATAGCAAGACATATATTTTATTGAATATTCAATTTGGACTGGCTTTCTAGCTGAATAATAGGAACAGTTTTCACATTATTTCTTTCATTTTACAGCCCAGTAATTCACTCTGCAGCGCATTAATGTAAAACTGCAAGCTTCTTAGCTGTATAGTCTACTTTATTATCACTCTACTTATCAGGACTGACAGTGCTGTTTCTGTCTGACCTCAGTAATGTCTTTAATTACCAGAGGACTATTTCTTCTATTTCCTTCTATTTCTTGCTACTTTGCATTAAAACCCAGTTATCTTCTCTGTGAATTTAATTTTAAAGGATTGCCCCTTTAGTAATTCACAGGGAAGCGAGAGCGGGTAGAGTGGTGTTATTTCCAGCAGCAGATTGGACACATAGATGTGGGTGTTTAAAGCCTAAATCCGTCTTTCCCTGCGTATAAAAATGCACTAACATTAGCGTTACAGAGTCATTTTAATTAATTTATTCTGTACCTGTGTGGAAGTGATGATGGTGTAGAAGTAAAGGGACATCAGGAGGGAAAACAACATACATCATACAGAGGTGTCAAGGCCATGCTCATATTTCACTATCCTCGTGTTGTATCTGTGGCTGGGACCTGGGCAATGTGTGACTGGCTCTTTTCCAACAGCATCCTCATGTCGCAGCGTATAGGGACGTTAGCTCCATCTGAGTCTCCTGAGCTGCATACACAAACTCAGTGCAGCCTGCAGCATGCCAACAAACTGCTAATTCAACAGTGTTGATAGTATGGCAGAGGTCCTTCATACCAGCCAAATTACCATTCACTGGCTTTGGCTTTCTTCCTAATTTATAGCATCATTGTAAAAGTTAAGCAGCTAAAAATGCTTTATAGAGCACACTGTACTCAATCCCAACAACAAGCTCATAGCACATTTCGGTTATCAGTCATAAGGAATTTATTGTACATTTCATTAGTATACAAGACAGTATAGTATAGTAGACATAGTGTATTTAGTGGAAATAACAGAAGACTCTATACAGTCATGCAAAGAAAATGCTTTATACAGACGAAGGTCACTCATATCCTGTTTCTATAGGAATTAAGAAGGTAAGTCACAGCCAGGTGCTGCTAATAAATACACTTAACTGATTATCAGCTGGTTTAGGCGCCTCTGTAAGAGCAGAGGTTTTGGCAGTTTGCTAGTCTGAAGGTTTCAGGAGTGTGTAAACACAATGCTACAATATCCCTAGAAGTGGATGTCCCAGCAAATTTACCTCAAGGTAAGAGAATGCAATTATCAGAGAAACAAGAAAAAAAACATCTCAGGTATTAGTTATCATGTTAAATATTAAAGTTCACAACAGCGCAATTAGAAAAAAGACTGAACAAGTTTGACAAGTTTGGAAGAATTGCCAGGAGCAAGTTTCTCCAAAAAGAGCGTTGCAGCACATCATAGGTTTACAAAGCTGCATCGGAACAAACCTGGCTGAAACTGGGTCACACAGCAGGACAATGATCCCAGCGCATCGGCAGCTTTACAGCAGAAAAGAATCAAGGTGTTGCAATGGCCCAGTCAAAGTCCTGACTCCAAACTGGTTGAAATGCTGTAGCCAGGCCTTGAATAAAAGCCCTTAAACTTCAATAAACTGATGCAATTTTGGAAATAGCAAGCCAAAATTCCTCCGCAGCGATGTGAGAGACTGATAAAGTCACACAGAAAACAATTGCTTCAAGCTGCCTCAAGCTCCTGAGTCATGATGTGTACTGTTTTTCACTGGGTGCCCTACTAATCAAGGAGCCACACCCCTTAGTGATGCTTATCTTAAAACTTAGTGAGTTATAAGTAAATGAACCCCTAACAAAGGGGATAATATGCTGTAGAAACCAACACTTTTTTGTAGCAGGCTGCAAACATGTTAATTCCTGTTGTAAAGTTGGGCATTTTAACACAGTAGTCTCATTGAGAATGACTTCCTTTTGGGACCTGCCTCATGTGGTGATTAAAGGAACTCCAATTATCCTCATCCTTTTTTTGGTACATCTGCTTGACTTTTAAGAGGTTTCTGCTTGGATATAACATGAATTAGGAGAAATTGAGTGAAATCACATTTCCCCACACACTTGTTATTCAGACATTCGGTGTGGAAAACTTCTTGTAGTAATGCAGTGTTTCCGAGCGGTCCTATCCGTCTGCTGTGTTCCTCTCATTTGGATGTTCCCACAGTATCTCAGTTTTATATGACAGCCTTTCCTCCTGTGACTTTGCAAAATGACACTGCATGAAGCTAATGAAGATTCTCAGCACAGATACACTTCAGTACAGGAACAACACGTACCACCTCCTGTACGAATTTCATATAACAAAAGAAAAAACCTATACATTTTCCGTGCAATGCATTGTTGCCTGGGCTATGTCGAATAGCTGAATGTGCCTAGAAGCTTCTCACACATCATTCAGCGCTCTTATGCAACGCACCAATCTGAATTACCCCATTAGCAGAATTATTACATGTGCTGTGCTGCCAAAAATAGATGAAATGCAACAAACTCTTAATCCTCTTGAGAGGATTGCAACTCTTTCCAAATTCAACAGGTGGTCTTGTAAAAGATATCCTTTTTCCTGGATCCAGTCTCCGCTCTGCCACTTATGCTGATTGTCTTAGCTCTGCTATAAATCTTTGGTGAGTTTCAGGATACTGCGAGGGTCTGTGTCCAATCAATTCATATTCATGGATGTGTTCTTCACAGGCAATAGATCAGATCAATGGGATACTTGGATTTGAGGCCTGACAGATTGAGTACTGTTTTTTCTTAGATTTTTCAAGGAGCCATCAGAGTCTGTCTCCTTTGCTGTATTTATGTCCTACTACAGAAAACCAACATTAAATCTTCAAAAAACTAATTCTGGTGTTGTTTTAAACAGTACTTTCTTTTTAAATTAGTCAGGAGACAAGTGTTATTGCTCGTTTCAATGTCATTTCTTGATAAGATGTTAGAAGACACACTCAGTTAAAAGGTTAATCTCTATGGCTGAGTTCATCCACACTGACTGTGTTTGTCAGTCCCTGAGCTATGCTGCCAGTAATGGAAATCAGCAGGGGTCCAGCCAGGCTCAGTAGCAGCAGCAGTGTTTTTCTATTACTCTGTCACCGTGATGAACAGAAGCAGGCACAGTCCTGGGGGTAGCAGAGGAAAAGAGAGGGGGGGGCAACAGAACCCCAGAGAAGCTTGTGTTGATCCACACTCTCTTTGCTTCAAAGGATCTCTTGATCCAGTCTCGGGGCTTTCTGAATAAACTTGCACAAGCCAGTGGCCCTTGGAGCCATGAAGTAGTGACCATCATTTGTAGCCTGAAGCTTAAAGTTTAAGATTAGGAAAAGTTGGGCTGTGTATTTTTAATAAATAAAACGTATATATATATATGTGTGTGTGTGTGTGTGTGTATTCTGTAAGCCAGCAGGAGTGTGGCCACTGGGCCGACTGCATAGCAGGCAGGCAGGCAGCAGGCAGGCTGGTTGGTTAGGAGCTCCTCCCACCTCCTTGTGCTCTCCCCCACGTTGCTGCAGAGGGCTGCGCTCCAGCACTCCACCTCTGCACAGTGCAACAGCAGCAGCACCAGCATGCCTGGCTGGAGCCGAAAACAGCCCGCAGCAGCGCACAGTCTCCTGCGTCTTTAACCTGTCGGTGGTGGAATACTTGAAGACAGACGGATATCGACATCTGTGGGAATCACGAGAACATTTGCACGTGTATTCATTATTTTAGGTCTTTTTTTTTTTTTAACGCTTTTGTGTTACCAGGCAGGACGAAGTCCGAGCAGGTAAGCAGTCGGCGGATAACCTTGGCTACTTCAGCATGGTTTCATTGTAGGTGCCATTTATTTCCTCCCTCCCTTTATTTCCTTTGCATAGGCGACACCTGCTTCATCTGCTGAACAAAGTTGTTTCACTTGAATTTTCTATAGGCGTGCGCGTTGTATTATTCATTCAGGTAATAGATTTTTTTTCTAAATAACGCAATATTCTAAGGACATCGTTTTTCTTTTACATTTAATCTACAACAACCCATCGCCGACCAAATTTGGCATGGCGACAGCAACGTTTACCCAAATCTTCAAGCACCTCATCTAAAAACAGAATCTCAGACCGAAACACGTGGGGTGTTTACCGCAAGTCGAGCGGATGTTAAAGCTGATGCTCGCAAAATAGACCAATAATCTATCTAAGATGGGGTTTTAGAAGAAAGTTCACAAGTTATTTTAGGGTGGCGGGGTGGCGGGGTTGGAAATACCCCCCTCGTGACTGTGGAGAAACCTGGTTGCGCCCCCAGAATGAATGAACGGGGCCGTGTGAGTGAGCAGGCGTGACAAATGTTGCCCGAAAAGGGATTTGTATTCAAAGTGAGGGACTACACACTGAGGTGACCTGCTTATCAGACTGTGACGTGAACTAGAGGTTGTCCAATTATTTTGATTATGTATGAGTGGATGTGTTTTGTTTTTGTTTTGTGTGTGTTTTTCCCCTGTTTTGTGGGCCTGTCATCCAATTAAGTGTGCATTTGCTCGCACGGCACAGAGCAGCTCCTTAAAAAGCAGTCAGTAGGACAAGTCGGTGGATTACAGTAACCCTAGACTCGAGTAATAACCATCAGATGACCTACACTTCATAGCGACTGTCTCTGCGCTTGTTTGCTTACGCGTACATGTGCGCGCGTGTGTGTCTGTCGGGGTATGAGGTGGGGGTTGGGGGGGGGTGGGGGGGGTGTCATGTGTGTATGTAGGTGGTTGACTCCTTGGTTATGCGCTGCTGCGTAAAGATTCAGGATTCAGACAAAGTGCATTCTCACACCCTGCTCATCAAAGGGAAAAGAACCAATTTTAGGTTCAGCGGTTGGTTATAAGGTTTAGAATCTTTGAGATTACCTTTGGATGTGTTTGAAATATCAGTGTGTGTGTGTGTGTGTGTGTGTGTGTGTGTGTGTGTGTGTGTGTGTGTGTGTACAAAGGTCGAAAGAAATGAGGGCGGAGGCTTGTTAAGGTTTGCACAGTCTATATGAGGTGGTGGCTCAAAACTGTAAATTCCACATCCATCCTCAAGTCATTTTTCTAGCCCCCAGCTTCTCACACGCTCATGAGATATTCTCCATAGTCTGTCTTATATCGAAGGTACTGCTTCACTTTTCAACTTCTTGTTGCTGCGTGTGAGAGCTTTTTTTTACTTTTTTACTTTTAGCAAGGGGAAGTGAGAGAAATTGAACGGTGAACTTGAGAAGGTGTGGGGAATGTAGACCACAGGGTCTATCTCTGTTAAAACAAGTAGCTCTGACCATGCCAACAAGAGCCAAAATAACCAAAACCGTGTGCAGCTTCATTTGTGTCCCAGTGTTGCTGTGCAAATGCAGACACGAGTGCCAGAAGTGGTCTCAGGTGAAAATCCTGCGTGGACGATTGCGACTCTCTTAGCAGAGACTAAAGTTGACTGGCAGCAGGTCTGTGCACTCGAGAACCAGTGGCCCAATAATCCCTTGCGCCTCTGATCAGTCATCTATCCGCATGACTCATGCACGAGGCTGTAAGATGTTGGCCAAGCTGCAGTTTCCTCTGTTGTCGCAGGAACGGTAAAACAAACAGTGAGCTAGCGGATGCCTTCCTGCATGAACTGAGTCAGACAGAACAAAGAAAAATGTAAACATGCATCTTATCTTTGCCAGCGGGACCACTCGTCATACCCTGTGGCATTACTGGGTCATAAAGCAAGAATTAACTGGAGTCTTAATAGGCCTAACCTCTATTAAGTATTTTTCAATCCATGGCTACGTTAATGCTTGATGTCGCTCTAATGTTTCTCTGTGATGAGTCGCAAGTTAGCTGAGAACTTTCCTCAGTCATAAGAGGAATTGTGGATCCTCCTGCCTCTTACGACTGTTTTCCAGCCGGTGCATCTTAAATAGCGAGCTAATGTGGCCGTATGTCACTGCATCACCTTGTTGAAAGGCAATTAAAGCTGTGTCAGGAGCATAAATAGAGACACACACCCCCACCCCGCTCCCGGCTGCGAGGAAACAAATGATCTCTCTGAAAAGGTGTTGATCTTCTCTCTGTCGGCCCAGTTAAACGGGGCTCAGCGAGGGAGAGGAAGGAGGTGCGTGGTTCAGTTGTGTTTGTGAGAGGTGTAGGACGCACATGTTGTTTGTGTGTTCATGTGTAGAAGAGAGAAGGGGGGTGGGGGGTCATCGTGGGTGTGAGATTCACCCTGGTGAGACTTGCGCCTTTAGACATTCCTGACATTCCGACCTCCGGGATGCTTGAGGCTCCTCCGTCTTCTGGTAGCACGCTGGGGGCTGCGGAGGGCTCCGGACGGCTTTTAAGTTGCCAGGCTCACATCGGCAAAACCCTTTGGTTGAACAGAAACCACATACCCTCTAATTTAAGAGGGCATGGGAACATGCAGTGCACGCAGGCATCAGGTCTTCTCAAGTTACATCCATGAATGACACTTGAGTCTTAACAAGTCTTCTATGGAGTCAGAGACACTTGTCAGCCTAGGCCTCCTTGTCTTTGAGTTTTTAAATAGATGCTTGAACTTTTCACTGTTTTTTTTAAATATCTGTTAGGATTTATGGCAGAAGATCATGCATATGTTAGGTTAGAGGCAAAATTAATAAAAACAGTCTGATACCTTTTCTCTGGGCACTGCAAAAGAGATATGAGCTGTCAGACAAGAACTTAAGGGCTGGGTGAGATTTATACATCAATTTTTTTTTTTTTTTGGGGGGGGGGGTTTTGGTGACAAAGACATGTGGAATTATTATTATGACTTAATGTAATCACTTTTAGGCCATATGTCTAACTCAAAAACCTGTGCTTCATTCTTCTCTCTGCCTTTTACATGCTGCCCTACGACCGACACCCCGTGTCACAAAATCAGCCATGACAGGTCATCCTGCATCTACCAGATACTTCCAGAGCCACCTCTGACCAAACCGGATTTAGCGAACCCAAGATGTCAGCGTGCAACGACTTTGCAGAACACGTGTGGAAACCCGGCTCTTGTAAGAACTGCTTCCACCCGTTCAGCGCACACAAGACCGTTGGCTTCCGGGATGGCGGCGCACCAGCTGCGTGTTTGAAGAGCAGCCCGGGAGGTGATGAGGAAGCTTTAGTGACTGCGCCTTCACCCTACAGCAAGCCGACGATAGCTGTGAAACCTACTATGATGAGCCTCGACACCAGCGATGCTGCAGATGTCAACATGAACATTGAGCAGGTGAGCCTCTCAAATGTTTCCATTTTTTATTTATTTTTTTGTCAGCTGGATGAGTGTTTGGTAATGTGTGTTCATGTTTGTTTGTAGGAGGAAAACACAAAGAGCCCAACTGAGAGGCTGCGCCTCAAGCAGCTCTTAGACCTGTCGTCTCTTTACATTGATAACAGCGGCTGCAATAAGGCCCACAGAGACGCAGTTCTTCAGAGTCCCGACGCCAAGAAAGACTGCAACAACTGCTTCTCTTTGACTCCCTTGTCCCCCACTATCCTGCCCACTGACTCTAAGATCATCAGCAATATCTATGTTACCCAGGAGGAGGGTCGAGGTTCTCAGAGTTTAAAGAAAAATGCCAATGAAGACTCCTGCAGGCAGCAGAATAGTACATCCGCTCTCCGAACCAAAAGCACTTTTAATGGAAATGTTGTGACTACCAGGTCGAATTATCAAGAATGTCAACAGGCAGCTGTGGAGATACCCTTTTCACTGGATATTGTCCCTACTAGCCCTGCCACAGTCCACAGCAATGGTATGAGCAGTGGGAGTGCGACGGGTGTTACCACAAAGACATCCAGCACTTCTACCACTTCCTGTGTGGATGTTGCTAGCCCTAAATCTCTTTGTCACATCCTGTCCAAACAGAGCAACCTATCAGACTCCTCTTATTCTTATCGTAGCAGCACAGATTCACTTCCTGGACCGGAAGGCTCAGGAGCAAGAAAAGACAGCTCGAGGAGCCCCCAAAGCCCACCATCTATGGGTAGCCCACAGTCAACTCCCACCTTTTTCAGTGGACAGAAAAGCTCAGAGCCAATTTATGCTGAGAGCACTAAGAAAAAGCGCAAGCAGCAAGAAAACGGACTGCAATCTCAACCGGAGTCCCCAAACCAGACTGAGGAGTCCCTAAGCTCTGAGCATGACCTCTCAGGAGACAGTCAGCGGGCCACCATCACTGTAATGGCTGCTCACATGGAGGAGAACAACAGAACTTTCTACTTGAGCAGCCCGGATTCGGCTGTTAGCACCCAGTGCCACTTCAGCCCCACGGCTCGTAAAGACCAGAGCAGTCCTGCTTTCCGTTGGCCCAGCCCCAGCCACAGCATAGGCTCTCTTGCTACAGAAGTAGGCTGTGCCCCTACTCTGCACCCCAAGCCCCAGTCCAGCCCACCAATTCCTCCAAAGAGGAACACCCGCTCCCCAAAACTGGGCACCTCTAGCCTCTCATCGTCCATGTCTTCTCCAGTCCCGCTTCCTGAACTTCCCAGACTACTGACCTCCAGCCTCTCTCCGTCTGTTTCATCTCCCGTCCCTCTCACTGAACTCCCCATGCTTTTCTTCGTCTCTACTAAAGAGGTCACTGCTGAGAACCAGAGCCCAGCGCCCGAGCGATGGCACAAGCCCCACCACCACAGCTCTGGCTGGAACTGCCGCATTGAGGAAGAGGAGGAGGAGGAAGAAAGAGACCGGAAAGAGACTGAAAAGAAAAAGTTAGCCGCCAGTGCTGAGGCAACCTCTCGGGTGACAGGCGTAGTCAATGGTGCTGCTGTCTGGAAGGAGGCCAGGGACTCGAAGGCCCACAGCGGCCCCCCTCCACTGACAGAGCCAGGCACGGCCCCCCCAGCTGCCACTAACAATGGTGCCTATCAGGGGGAAACTAAGGGCAACGGCGCAGAGGCGGAGGGCAAGCATAACGGGAGCATGCCGGCAAAGCAACCGTTGCATGGTGGCTCATCAGAGCCGCTGGCACCAGGGAAGGGAGCTACCAGCCATGACCCCAATCCACCGCCTCCCCCACCCAAGAAACTGCACAGGTAAGAATAGCAAAGCACTGTTTTTGTTTTACAGTCACACATTTGGTTGACCCTTGAACAGGACAGAGCAGCAATGCAGCAGATCTCAGAAAGATCTATGACTTTTTTTTTAATTACTAAATCTGCTTTTTCAGTTAATCGTGTTGTCAAAAGCAATGACAGAATAGCAGCAAGATGGCTGAGCCTATCTGAGGCAACGACACTGCTCCATCACTCATGTTGACCAACAAACACAAAATATCTCAGAAGGTGTTCACTAACTTTGTTCAGAGTAGCTGGAAAACATCACAGGCACGAAATCCTTTTAGCTGATCATCTAATATCCAAACATGTAACACAAACAAATGCACAACGTGGCTTAAGGACAGGGGAACTGAAATATTGTTTATTCAAAGGCAGCAGTGAAAAAGTGTAATAGATACTGCATTATATGGAGGTAAACTGTTGACATACTGTAATACAGTTTAACTGTAACGCAGGTTTATCACATGTGGATTGTCTGTTGTAGCAAATACTTGTTCTATTGTTTTGTCTCAGTGACTTGCATTAGGATTTTTGGGACTGTGGTTTGATTATATTATTTAATTTAGCACTTATAACATCCACTTAGGCCTAATGTAATGCTCTCCACAAAGGCAGTTCTGATGCATTTATGTCATGTAAGTCACTATTCGGTGTCTGTGACCATACATGTGTGCAGATACAGTATCTAACTGCAGTCATTAGTGTGAAACTCGCAGTGCCTTCTCCTTTCATAGCATCATTATTCAGCCTCCATTCTAATGCCTTGTGATCATTCAGACTCTTGCAGAATATTCCTTAATGCACGCCTTGTTCTATTCATGCTAGCAGCGTGACCTTTTTCAATTGTAATTAATGCACAAAGTACGTCTGTTAAGTAGCCCGCTGCTATGTCAAGTTACTGTAAATTTGTTTTGGCTGCACCGCTGTAGACGATGAATGCAAAAAGCATTTGTAGTACTGTGGAAAACTCTTGAGTAGCCCTTCCTTTCTTTATATTTTAATAGAAAATTGGGAGAAATCTTTAAACATGCATGAAAATACAGTGTGCACAGCAAAAACGAGCCTTATATAAAAGATTTCTAACAAGGGTGAAAGTCAATATTTATTCATTAACACAGCCTGAACCCTCTTAGGCACGAAAGTAGTCTTCAGGAATAGTTCTCTGGACTTCCTGGAAGACTGTCGAAGCTCTTCTTTGGATGTTGGTGGCATTTTACTGTATTGTGGTTGGGATCTTTGTCAGTCAGATGCTAGTGGGTCCAAATCTGATGGCATTTTTCTGTGTTCATAATTCCATCAGTTTTGACAAGATCTACAACACCCCTGGCTGAAATGCATGCTCGAACCATGACAGAGCCTCCACCATGTTTTTACAGATGACTGTAGCCACTCACTGTTCTGCATCTCTCCTTATGTCCTTGGTACATATTGACAGTGGTTTGAATCAGAATTTTCACATTTGGATTAGTCGCTCCAAGACCTGATTTTCAGTCAAATTCTTATGTAAAGTGACATACCTCCACCTTTTTCCCCAATTTCCTTCTGCATGAATGGCTTCTTGACAGCCACCTGTCCACTAAAATTATTTCTGATGAGGCTTTAGTGAACAGTACTTTGGATCAACTAAAGGCTCAAATACATCTCTCAGCTCCTTTTCAGGACCGTAATAGATTTTTCTCACTCTTTAAAGACATGAGTTTCAGGTGCTGTTCAGATATTTTAAGGACACACTGCACCACATGCTGAGAAGTGCCAAATTCAAGCTGATAGCTCTCTGGGAATCACTTTGTTGGTGCGAAAAATACTATTGTATGTCTGTCAAAATGTGTTATTTTTGTGAGTTTCATAGATTCAATCAGCTAAAGGAATGGAAACAAATTATGTCTGTAACAAAGATCCAATTTAAAATGGGCCCCCTGGTCAGTTTTCTCTTATATGTAAAAACAACACTGTGTTAAGAGCTTTTTTCATCCTTCAGTGATTCATAAGTCAGTGTTAAGAGGTTCAATAAACAAAACCCAAAAAAAAGCATTACTCAGAAAATGGGCAGATGCAAGGACTAGACTAAATATGATTTTTTTTTTAAAGCAGCCACTATCCAAAGAAAAACTTCGAAAAACTTCAGAAAGCCCAGAGAACTATTGCTCAAGACCACTTAAAAAACATTCCAAGAAAATCTGACTTCTTTGAAGAAAAATATAAAGAAATGAGACCAGAGGTGAAATTTTCACAGTACTGTGTGTTTGTTTGTTTGTTTGTGTGTACGATATTTCTGCTGAAGTCCACATGCTGGTCATTTGTGTGGCTTGATAATCACGTTTTATTACATCATGTGCTATATATGCAAAATGATGAATGCTCCTCTTTGCACACTCCTGGTTTTACCAGTCATATGTAAGCCATAAAAAAAATGCACAGTTGCCTTAAACTGAAGTTGCGTGAGTCTAAGAATACATTGTGCTGTCTGAGTCAGTTTTCCAAACAAGAAAAAGAGAAGAGGCTCTGTGTTGAAGTTATTAGAGCATCAAATGAACCCCCTTAAAATAAACTTTGCTTTGTCTATAACAGTGCAATGAGGTGCAAGCCACACACACACACAATGTGACTTCCCCTACGCAAGCACGCGTTTTCTCATCTTGAGCTAGATTCGGCCAAAGCTCAGAAGACTACACAGACCGCTGATCACATTTCAGTGGGGCTTTATGTTTGCGGTAATTCTAGGAAGGAACCGTTTTTGCTGTTATGACATTGCCAACATTCTGCGCTGATAAAAAAAAACCTTGTTGGGACACATGTGGGAACACGCCTTTACCCAGTCAGTGACAGCTCTCGCTTTGTGGCATTCCAAGTTTATCAGTGGGTTTAATTTGTTTAAGCAGTAAGCGACCCTGGTCACTACTGGAGACACAGTACTGGAGAGTAGTTCCACATTCCCGACTCAAAGACATGAGTACACGTCCCCTTTGAAGGAGCATTTTAAAGTTCTGAATCATTTAAAATCCACAGATGGTTTAAAAAAATCTGGCTCTCAGAGCCTTTGATCACGGCATAAAACACCAGATTTTGCTCTTTAATTCCATGTAACAGGTCATCCAATGGATTATATGTCGGGTCGGGCCTAGGAGGTGTTCGCTTTTGTGCATGTGCCTACGTCATGGATGAGTGTGCATGATTAAGTAGCCTACTCCTTAACAAGGAAGGCGTGTCAACTGGTGTGTAAATGTTGCCAAAGAGGGAGGGGCTTTAGTGAACAGATTGCTGCCCCCCGGGGCAACTCCCAAACTGTTCCAGCCTGGCGATCAGTTGCCACAGATAGAAGTAGATTTTATAGATCAGCATTGTGGACTCAACTTGACTTGGGTTTGAATTGGCTTCGCTCTGTGATCTGCTATTCCAAGATTTGCTGCCCCTCCCTGCACAAAGCCTTCCTGATCCCCTTTCTGCTGCACAACAGATAGCATCTTGTTGCAGTCTGGCAGACTTGAAGGCTTTTCTAAAGTGAACTCGTAGGTGAATGAAATTAGAAATGTGGGCGCTTTAACTCCCCGCATCTAATGGATGCTGTTGCTTTTCTTGTGAGACACTTTAAATACACACATTACTCGTGTGGCACCAGGGTTGTGTTACCTACACACGCCGTGGCTCTAGGGAGCCGCTAGCATGATCCAGGGGCATTTTGTACCAACCGGCCCAGCAAGGACCTCAGCATGAGGTAGGCACCTGACGACAAATTATTCTCCTGCATCACCAGTGAGACACAAAATCGGACTGCTATGTCATTAGGCTGGTGAAGAGTTTGTGTTTCAGGTTGCTTTTCTCTCTCTTTCTTTCCCCCCACATCTCCATCAGATGCCAAAATTTAGATGTAGCATTGCATGTGGTCAAATTTGTTTCCTTCCTCTTTTACAAACTGCCATTTGCTCTTCTTCTAATCTCATGTAATGTTTTTCCACTTTCTTGATCTAATTCTCTGTTTTAACAAGTCTCGCTGGTACAGTAGAAAGAAGTGGTAAGATGAAAAGCTTGATAGTTCTAATAGATTTTACATTCTTAGACAGGAGGAGCGACAGAGTTGCATTTCAAAGATTGTTTTGGGGGTTTTTTTAAACACGTGAGCTGAGCGGCGGTGAATAAGAAAAGGGGGGAAAAGGCTGACAAATGATGACAAGGTAGGCCTGGAGCAGTCTGCAAGAGATAGCAAGGATTTGTGTCAAACATTAATGGATCTTTGGTTTATAAAACTGTACAGCCTTGGTAACTGTCCTACAGTCTTTGGAGGCAAACAATGTGTCTCTTTATTCTCTGTTGGAACATGTAGAGGTTGCACAACAGGCGGGAGAAAATATAACCCTGTGTAACAGAAATGCAATATACAGCTTTTTACCTCCTGTGAGTCTTTATATTAAAGGAGGACATGAGATATTTATATTGTCCATAATATCACAGAGATAGAGTTCAATCCGTTCCTCTCTGGCAGAGACTCATAAAAACTAACACTGCAAGCTTTGCGGGGATTGTGTTCATTGCATGGTGTGTCTGCTACCACCTCTGCTTCCTGCAGCATACATAAAGGAGGGACGGTGTATTATGAATTAATCGGGTGTATTCTTAATACTCTTTAACCAGCTAAGCCCGTGACTAAAAGATTACATCTCTACATGAAATGGCCCTGAAAATCCAAGTATGTTTGTACATGGGTGAGCATGTGACCTTTTGCACGTAAACATACAAAGCGTATGCATGCTTTCGCTCCCACTGCATCATTTTATGTGATTACCACAAAGAACGTCCTAAGTAAGAGTCGGGAAGTGAAATCAGTTCAATTAGGCTAACCTACAACAACAACAACACTGCTGCAGTTTGGTTTATGTCTCATTTTACACTGTTACACTGCTGTCTCTAGCTAGTTGGCTGCAACGCCAGTCCGATTCACTGGGGCAATAAGAGAATCTCAAGTAAGCTTTGTTTTTTGCTGGAAAGCTGATCAGATCTACTCAGAGGAAATGAGAAACCAAGGTTATTAATAGATGTTTAGTCTAAAATCAGACATTCTAGTCACGGTGATCTTGGAAAAAATGTTGTCTTTTGGTGCATAATGTGCATTTTATACAACACGGTATAAAGTGTGTGTGTGGGGGGGGCTTTTAAATTAAATTCAAACTGCAGCTACCAAGTGTTCACAGCAATAAAAATCTTCACTTGAAACATTTATGTGCATTTAATGGAACAAACAATAATGAGGACAAATATTGTACCACCCTAAACGCTTGTATCTCCTTGCTTGCGTGCCTCTCCTAAAGAAGCTTGCTTATCCATGCTCATCCTCCAGTATAAATCAGTGCCATTATTTTTTTCACATAGGAAAATCTCATGTTTTGGATACAAATCGGAGAGATCTAGACCGAGACATGCACGGGCGCAGACATGCACATTCGCTCATAATCCCTGCGCTCATTACCATTTCTCCTGCGCCTCAGCGTTTCCACTGCCTTTCATCACGGCCTCTTTTGTCTGTAAAATGATAGCGAATCCTTTAGCTAACTACCAACAGAGAATATCTAACCCTTTGTCTCCCCCCTGTGCTTCTCTCCTCTGCTCCTCTGTTTTTTCTCCTAATTTATGGTGGAACTGAAGTCAGGGGCCGGCAGATAAATGGATAGAGGAGTCATTTTGTGACGGAGGAGAGGACGGAGAGGGGCAGATGAAGGGGAGGGATGGGACCCCGCTTCCCTGAGCCATTAGCAGCAGTAATGAGAAGAGCGAATAGCTGTCAGTCACCCTAATTGGTCAACTTTATTAGAAAGTGTTCATGAACAGTTTTCACTAGCATTATAAGACGCAGTCACGATGGTTAGATGGTCAGGTAATCAGGCAAATGGACAGGAGGAACTTTGGTTGTACTTTGTGCTTAAATTTGTAGCCTTTAGTTGAAGCTATATTTGGGAACCATAGTGCAGTTTTTAAAAAGATTATAAAAAACCAGAGAGGTCCTCGCATTTATTCTTCTTTTACAGATTTTAGTTGTTAATGTAACTCTGAGTCCCTAGCCACAAGCATAAATTAGGAAAATGCAACTAAATGTAGGGAAATCCAGTTTGCACCTATGCTCTTATTGCCACTTGTGGACACAGAGGGGCTAACGCTCAGCAGCAGTTGCTCAGTCTCACTTTTAGATTCCAATGTGATTGGCAGTACATTTTTCATCAAGGCTTGTTTATTGCAATTATGAGGCAACGTTGAATCAGGAAGCGTTGCACTCCTAACAAAGAAGTGAAACTTGACATGACTTATTCATCGTTTCATCTGAAATGATGTCGTCCTTCCCGCAGGTTTATTAATTGCATGGTGCAGGCGTAAAACAAGCAAGAGGAAGAGGGATGGTTCCACATTTACAAACGGGCATGCAAGAAAAATGCCCATTTCTGCTGCAGATCAGCAGATTGACTGCCTCGAGACACTGCACCGGGCCCTGTTGTAGAAAAGTAAATGGTAAAAAATCAAGTTGTGTAACATTATCTCTGCTTTTTTGTTTTCTCCATGACAGAGTGGGTAGGATGAGTGGCAGCAACATGGAGATGGACCGCTGTGGCCAACATGGGTCAGTAGAGAGCCCTACCTCGTCTCTACGGGGCCTGAGCAACTCCAGCCTCCCAATGGCCTCCACTGACAACCTGGCTGCAACTGACACTGGTAAGCAGCTCATACTGAATCAGTTAATAAAAATAATAATAGCAGTAATAAACATTCGTGTAATCCAACTGAAACGAGCATGACATATCTACATGGCAATGTCAGTGAATTTTCTAACATGTACACTTGGGTATCCGTGGAAGTTGTTTTGCTCTTTTATGACTGCGAACCATAAAGGTGCACTTTGTTCAGAGTTAACCTGAGCAGCAACATCGAAACAAGGAAAGGAAGCTCTGCAAAGATTTACAGTTAGTGGCTGTCAGCTTGTCCCTGGTTCCTTTTTTCACATGCAGTGCACATGCAGTTTGTTGTAACGGGTTCATTAGTTCACGTTTTCCACGGTCTTCTAGCCTGAGACGGGGCTCAGAATGAGAGGCATCTGTCCTCGCGTTGGAAACTGTCGTCATCCTTCACGTATCAGCTTTAAACCTCGGTGGCACTCAGACACTTGTAATTGCTGCAACTTCCTGAGCAATGTTGTTTGAAGAGATAATTATGGACTCTGATAACGAGGGGAAAAAGGGCTCGGCTACATCCTAGAGCCACCCCCCACCCACCTTTACTGTCCACCCCCCCTTGCGAAAGCACTTCTTGAAGACTGCACCGCAGAATTATCTAAATATCTTCAGTCTTCTCTGGTGTAATGTCAGGTTCCAAGTTTAAGTCTTTAATTGACAAATGGTTCATAACTGGGTGGAAGATGTTTTGACTGTCACCATGGACCCTGGATTGTGGAAAATTTCCAGTTCTTCTGTAGAAACAAGGTATGTCTTTATATTATAGCCGAGCAGTGCGCAGTGACATGAGGGACGTAGTAGATGAATCAGATTTGCAGCTGTCACCTGGGAATATTCTGTCAGGGAATCCTGTTAAGGAAAATTAACTTAGAAGGGCGCACAGACACAAAGGATACACTGTGTGAATCCACAAAGGCAGGAAAACGAAAGTCTGCCAAGAGACATTTCTCTCTGTTTGTGTCTGTATTAGTTTGTGTGCATGTGGAAGCCTGTAATTCCCAAGTTGACACAGTTTGTGTTTCATTGGTTATGTCTGTGAGTTTGGTTTTAATTTAATTGGTAGACCTGCTAACGTCTTTTTTTCTTCTTCCATAGGTTCTCAGGATGCTACACGAATGTCTTGTTCTTCTCCGTTTCCTAGAAGCCCAGTGGCTTCAGCTCCAGGTTCTCCTAACCCTCCCTCCATTACCAGCCCGAGTAAGCAGCCGCCTCCACTCCCAGAGAAAAAAATGGCCAGCCGCACCGTGTCCGCTCCCGACGGAAACGGAAAGCCTTTCGTTCGAGCGTACCCGCGCCTCCCGTTTACCGGCTCAGAGAGCAATGTGTGCCGGACCGCTGATGCCAGCTCCCGTTCCAGTTTGCCATCCAGCCCCGTTGATCCACGGCCCATTTTCTCCTCCAGTGAGTCTCTAGAACGTTGTCACGCCCCCCTGGGACGAGCCTTGAGGTCCAGGACGCTGGACGAGCCAGTCAAGACTCATGGTCGGCTGGGCGTGCACTGCCGAAGCAGCATCACTTGCTCATCTTCTCCTCAGCTCAGCGTGCCGTTCTCAGCTGCAGAACCAGGTTCAGCGCCAAACTTCGGCTCGAGCCTGCAGCTCCAGACCCTTCTGAGCAACATCGACAGTAGAGAAGGAGTGTACTCAAAACTGGGCGGGCTTTATGCTGAGTCTCTGCGGCGCCTGGCTCTAAAATGTGAAGATCACTTCACTCGCTCACAGAAGAACCCGCTGAGGTTTGAAGAGAGCAACTGGTCTCTGTTCAGGCTCACGTCTAGCAAGCCCAGCTGCAATGCAGGAGACGCTGTATACTACTCTGCCGCATGTGCCTTAGACCCCAGCAGCTCCTACGCTGTAAAGGTAATCCCTAAATACTGAGCTTCATTTGCAAGTGAGAGATGTTTTACTTTCCAGGCACGCAACACACTCTGTGAGCACTTTATCAGAATTAACCCAAAAAGACTAACTGGGCAACCGAATGAACAACTAGCTTTTTGTTTGTTGTTGTGAGCACCCAAGCACTTTTTCTGCAAAACAGGGAAAGGGTGGCAGGTGTGCAACCTGTTATGCTTCCTGTCACTACTTCAAATAAAAGCCTCAGTGCCGTTTTCTACACACCTAACATGAAAAAGCAGTAGTTCAGTTAGATTGTCAGTAACTGAACACAGCTTTGATGCACTGTTTGGAGAGTAAACGATAAATAGGGAGGTACTAAAAAATAAAAATGTAAATAACAGTTACCTCTGACTTCTTTTGAAGTGGGTTCTCATTAAAATGGGATTGTAGGATCATCAATACAGTACAGTTTACAGTATTCATATTATTAATAATATCCTACATAGTTTAAACAAGTGGTTGCCAATGTTTTTCATTGGATCCCCTAACATACTTCGAAACTATTTTAATATAACATGTTTTATCTTTAAATATATATTCAGCAGAATTCATTTCAAACTGGTTTGGGCTACTTTTGGATGCCCCCAACAGGTCAAGGCAGATGGCTTCTAAAACTGGTTCTCCTGGAGGTTTCTTCCTGTTTTTCCTTCTAGCTGTTGCCAAGTGCTTACTCATAGGTGGTCGTTTGATTGTTGGGGGTTTGCAATAGGCTAATAGTAAAGTTTATCTTACAGTATAAAGCACCTTGAGGGGACTGTTGTTGTGATACTTTTAGCAGCACTCTATTTATCAAATATTAATATCAAAGGATGGTGTCACCAACTCTACCCATTTATCCAGTATATGCCCTGTTAACACTTTCAACTTTACCTAGCTAGTCAGCTGCTAATCCATATTGCTAGCTAACAATTCACTGCTAGCCATGTTTCAGAACAACAGTTTGCAAATGTATTCATAAATCAGTTTGATTTGAAATATTAACTAGTAGTTTCAACTCTTGGCCAAACATTAGCAAGCTGTATCTTTATCACTTGGCTAGTTACTCATTCATTTTAATGACTTACACATTTTTTGGCTGCCATTTTTTACTGCTTAGCCATTACTTTTAGCGAAGTGTAAACTTTAAACTTTGACCACCTATTGTACTTGTATTCTTGGTTTTCATATAATGTACTTGGATTTGCAAGGCTAACATTTAAATGAAATGGAAAATTTTAAGGAAAACATTTGTTGTTAAAACTGTGCAGAAGATAACCTGTAAGTGTATAGTAATAGAGTCGGGGACTCTGCTTGCTCGTAACTGTCAGTTCCAGTTGAGAGAAGTGAAAACTTACAGTTGTCTGAGGTACAGTTGACCTAGTGGGTGTTGAACTTTTAAGCAGGTACTTGACAGTTTGAGGACAGGATGAGGAGCTTAAAACTGGGCAGCAGTCTTATTTGTTCTAAGGCTGCAGATGGGATAGCCCCACTACAGCGCAAACCTTAAAGGCATGTAATGCAAATAACGAGGAAGGAGGGTGTGGGTGATGTGATCTTTGCCCGAAAGTCATTAGTGCTGTACAATGTAGCAGCTGTTTGTATTGTGTGTTTTGCCACAGCCTGGGTGCCCAGACTCTTGCTTAATATCTCTGGGCTGATTAATCTTTACATTCCAGGCAGGGTTTACAGCCCAGACAAACCCTTTCTGTTGTCCAAAGCCAAGACAAACTTACTTAGAAGACACTCATCCCTGTGCTAACGATAATTTTGTACATTTAAGCAAAGTCAGTACAAAAAGTCAGCATGCTTTTTTACATGTAATGCTGTTTACTGTATTGCCACCTAAACCTTCTCACTAAGACGAGATCATTATTTTTGGGGGGGAAAAAACAGTCCCATCAAAGACTTAAAATAAATTTAATTTAATGGGAGGTGTTGTTTAAAAAATTTGATGTAATATTTCACACAGACCAATTTGAGAATGGACACTGGAGGGCTGTAGTAGTTTATTTTCATCCCAACAGAATCTGGTACTGCTATCAACTTGCCAAACTGTGGTATAAAAAGTATTTTTGAGAAAGCTTTTCAGCTGAGGCTTGAGCTTACATGTCCATCAGGGGTGCTGATTTCACATGAATAGGAACAGGAACTGAATTAGCACTGACCTTGGAACTTAACTAACAAGAATTCCTTTCTTATGTTTCTTGGCTCCACTCCCTTCCCGTCTCTGGAATTTTCCCTCCCTCCCTCTTTGTCCCTTTCTTCTTTTCTGCTTCACCCCTTTCTCCCTTCCTTTGTGTACATACCTCTGCAGATCTGCAAGAGTTCAAGCATTGAAGCCAAACAGGGCCATCTCTACGGCCTGTCAGTGCAGCAGAGCATGCCTCCTCACTTCAACCTTCAGCAGGACTGTGGTCACTTCCTCGCCTGTGTCCCCCAGAGCATGTTGCCTTCTGATGAAGTCTCCCAGCCAACCACACCTGCTTCGCCACTGCCTCACTCTGTGCAGGGCCAGCCGGAAGACAGAGAGCGAGTGGTGGTCATCACACCTGAGATCCCTCAGCAGACGGCAGCTGACTTTGTTCGGGAGTGGGAGGCATTCCACAAAGCTCAGCCAGAGGTCTATGAGCGTCGCATATGCTTCCTCCTCCTACAACTCTGCAATGGCCTGGAGCACTTGAAAGAGCATGGGGTCACGCACCGTGACCTCTGCCTAGAAAATTTGTTGTTGGTACCTCATCAGCGCAGGCCCGCTCTGTTCGCTCCACAGACTGAAAACAGCTCCAGTAATGGTTCAAGCGGTGCAGAGGCTCAGCGTCACCTTCCCCGGCTCCTGATCAGTAACTACGCAAAGGCCAAGCGTCGCTCCTCGGAGGATGCCGTGTCAACCAACGTGGACCCTCGCATCAAACGTGACCACGCCAGGCTGGCGCCTGAGATCCTCTCAGCAGCCCAGTACCGCAAATTTGATGAGTTCCAGACGGGCATCCTGATCTATGAGCTCCTCCACCAGCCAAACCCGTTCGAGGTCAGTCCAGCACTGAAGGAACAAGACTACCGCTGTGAGGACTTGCCTCCAATCCCCTCTGTCTCCCTCTATTCAGCTGGCCTCCAGAGGCTGGCCCAGCTCCTTCTCCAACCTGACCCCATCAAACGCATCCACATCCAGGAGGCCAAGCGTATATTGCAGAGCTTGCTCTGGGGACCGAGGAAGGACCTCATGGATCAGCAGTGGGAGAGACAAGGACAAGGGGGAAACTTTGTCGATGGATCCCGACACGAGGGTCTCCTTAATTGGCTCGACGTGAAAAGGGCGCTGCTGATGATGAAGTTTGCCGAGCGCTCGCTGGAGCCAGAGAGGAACGCAGAGCTGGAGGACTGGCTGTGCTGTCAGTACTTCTCCTCAGCTCACCCTCTGTCCCTCTGCCATACAGCTGAACTACTCTACTCACTAAAGTGAAAGCTCACCTTATGGGTTAAAAATCCATGTGGGCGAAAACATAGTTATATGCGACTGTAGGTGCAAGAGAGACCAATGATGTCAAAGAATGGGATAAGGAGGCACAATCCTCTGGAGAAAACCCGCACCCGTGTATTCGATCGACTTCATGCACGAGATCCATGCGTCAAACTAGCCGTCCAGTCTGAACTTTTTTTTAAATTTATACCAACAGTATCCTGCGACAGTGAGCTTAGTATAAAAAAGACCTGTGAACACACCACTGATTTTGTAATAATCAGAAAGATTCTCATGACAACTAGAATCTGTTTTCATTTTCTCTCGCGATCCCAGTGGATGCATCAGGGGGGGAAAAAGAACATGGACAGTCTTCATAATAATACACTTACCAAAGTTCATGTTTGGCACTGTGTTTTGTGTATTTATTAAATGTCAGTGGAGACATTTATACGCGCTGACAACAGGATAGCAATTCATAACCTAATTCTGTGTCAGTAATGCTGTGTCGCACATACATGTGCAGCTAACTTTGTCTACATGTAACCTGTACGGCTAATTTCTCTGCTAATGGAAATGTGAGGTCACCTGCAGGCTTTACCGTATTGCACCTTTTACTCTCGTGTTTTTTGTCATGGGCACATAGTGCTGTATTGCAGAATTACTGCAGGATTATCCTTTTTTTTTTTTCTTTTTATTCTGTGTATACTTGGAAATGATCAACACAGCCTTTTGGAAAAAAATACTACTACTGTTCTACTACATGCAGTTTTTTCCCTCCTTCGCTCAATTTTATTATATATTTAAATGTTTGTTGACATTTGTCACAGTGCCTTTTGTTCTTTTGTATTTGTTACAGTGACTCGAGCCTAATGTAAATACTCCCCACCATTTGTCCTTTGTGAAACTGGCCTTTCACAGGAACAATGTTTTCTTTTCTTTTCTTTTTTTTTTTTGGGTTTTGTACAGTGATTTGTAGATGATAATAGAAGTGAATGGGCCCAAGCAGGTCTTAAAAAGCCATGAATATGAGCAGTAGTTAAAAAAACAAGATGATATTTATGATTTAAGTTGTTATCTTGTAGTAGTCACTGGAATTTCTGTTTATTTCCATGATATTCAGCAGCAGCTGGGCTTTTTTATGTGTCATGAAAGCTTCAAGTTATAAATTATATTCAAACAAAAAGTGTGGCAACACATTAACAGCCTGCACGCAGGTTTTTATTCATGACCGACTGTTTCTAATGTGGAAGAAAAGTAAAACACGCCCTGAACTCACGACTAATGCATTATTGATTGGAATTATTTTGTGTGTGTGCCTCTTATTTGCATCTATCAATAAACTGCATATATTTTCTCACTGCAGGATGTGGTGTGTTGAGGTAGTTTTTTTCTTTGTTTTGTTGTACTTATCCATTTTAATGATTGGGCTATTAGCAGGTGCCGCTAATGAATATCTGCAAGCTGTTTGTGACAACTGATAGATACATTCCCTGGCCTTTTTATTAGTTCCACAACTGCTTGTTAACGCAAATATGGCAGCAGTTCTTTGCATTTAGGCACGTAGAAATCATTCAAACCAAACAGAATAAAGATGAAAGGTAATTTTTGAATTGAAGTGACTTTGGACATGGTTGTTGTGCCAGACGTGTTGGGCTGAGTATTTTAGAAACTGCTGGTTTACTGGGATTTTCCCGCAGATCATCTCTAGGGTTTACAGAAAATGGTCAGAAAAAGAGAAAATATCCAGTGAGCAGCAGTTCTCTGTGTGGAAATCCGTTGTTGATGCCAGAGTTTAGAATGGAATAGAACATTTCAAGTTCACAGGACAGCAACAGTATCTCTGAACGCACAACATGTTGAACCTTGAAGCAGATGGGGCACAGCTTCAAGGTTCCACACCTGGTGGACCACACAGCGTGCCACGCTGCCAGCTGAGAACAGGAACCTGATGTGACAGATCACACAAGCTAGAAGATCGGGGGGGAATACCTGCTCTGATGAGTCTCTATCTGCTGCCACATTCAAATGGGAGGGTCAGAATCTGCTGTAAGCAACATGAAAGCACAGATCCATCCTGCCTTGTATCAGTGGTTCTGCACACTGGATTACTTTGTACCAACTGATTGTTGTTTAAGCACAGTCTACCTGAGTATTGTTTCTGTTCATGACCACAGTGTGCCCATCTTCTAATGGCAGCTTACAACAGTATAACACTCAAACATGGACCATGACTGTGAGCTCGCTGTGCTGAAGAAATGGTCTCCTCAGTCCAACAGAGCACCTTTAGGATGTGTTAGAAAGGGAGTTTTGCATCAAGCAAGCAGATCTGAAGGTAAAAAGGTGTCCAGTCCTTTAGTAGGTGATGATAAACCACATTTACACAATTTGCTTCATTTTTATGTGTGTTTTTATGTGTGATTTGATAGTAGAGCTGTTCAGAAAGAGGACCTTGATTGGATGTCACACAGGAAGTAGAGGGTGTTTTTGATGAATGGGAGAAAACACCAGCCTTTTGTTATGTTGCTCAGTGTGTTTTGTGGATCCTATTACTCCAAAGTATGCAATGTAAGACTGTGTGAAACACATGCAAATTAACTAACTAACTCCGTACTGAAAAAAAATCCACAGCAGTAAACGATGTTGCAGATACCTCCTGCTATTGGTCCTAGCCTTTCTGTAGCTTGGCTGAGAGACTGTGCATAAACATAATAGGGAATTAACTTCTGTTGATTCTATTTAGAATAATTTCTCTATGTCTTGTAAACTATTTTTTGTGCAGGGACTAAAGCGCCGTGAGCAAATTAGATTTTTATTTTTTTTTTGAAAACGTAAAATAAGTACAGGATGAAAGGAGCCAAAAACTCCTGTCAGACAAAAGAGAAAAACATTTGCCGCTGTGGAAGACAACAGGTTGGTCATGTGGTGGAATCTCAATTTCAGTTTGGAGCCTCAGGCCAAAACAGACCCCAGACCCCCTCCTTCCCCAAACACCCCCCAAACTCAATACCTCCCACCTGCTCCCCCCACACAGTGTAGCCTTCTGCTTCACATCACTCCTTCAAAACCACTGGCTGCTGCCTTGTCATAGGTGGAACTATGTTGCTATGGTGTTTTGACCAATGGAATGGCATTTCCAGGAAAGCAGTCAGTCTCTGTCTTCTTCTCCCTTTCAGTAGCTCACCAGTCCCCACACACACACACACACACACACACACACACACACACACTGAAGCACACTGTTGAGCAAGCATCTAAATAACCCCCTGGTAACAACAGCAAGGCCCCTTCTTTGTTTGTGCAGTGAACACCGGTCAAGAGGTTGCATTCTTTATTTAAGAGAAAAAAGGAATGCCAGCAAACTGTCTTTAGCAGAAGACATAAGAGAGTACAAAGCGGCTCAGCTCAGCTAAAATATGATTAAGGTAAAGATCTAGCTATAGTGAGGGGGAAATGATTTATATGAGTATTTAATTGACTTTAAAAAAAAACAAAAAAACAAAATGCTAATTTACCAGTTATTGCTCATTTAACTCTAGAATGATTGTTTTGTTGGGGCCTTGACTAAAAGTTTAAACTAAAATCTGGTTATGCACTTTATTATCTCCTTCTGGTCTTTATACCTTAAGAAAGACAGAAAACCCATTCATAATGTTATATATCAGAGTGCTTACTGTATGACGCTGCCCATTAAAAAATGCTCTTTTAACACTGAGGAGGATTGTTACATGCAGCTCAGTGGAAATGTGGGGCACATCTAGCATGGCCTTAGTTCCATTTCCCTATAGCCAAGAATCAGCCTCAGGTCAACAGGCCCACAGGGCTTTTTCACAGGACACATCTGACATACCACAAAGAAAGAAAAATAATAAAAGTTATATGTATTATTAACATGTGTCATTTACTACAACTTTAATTGACCAGAATTGTTCATATTAACATTATGAGTGAAAATACTTGCTATGACAAAGGCCCATTCAGTATCTAATAAGTAGTAGTAATTCTAATCTCTGTACTATTCTAGGGTCTTTAACTTGAAATAGTCAGCACCTTTAGGTGACGGCTGTGGTGTTTTGGCGCTATATAAATAAAGCTGAATTAAATAGTGACAGTCACTGACATGGCATTGGTCTTTAATTAATCACAATGATATCAGCAACTCTTCATGTCACCCAGCTTTCCCATATATCCCAAACGAGTGATGCACACAGCTGCAGCTTCCTTCAGGTGTTTCCTGCGGAGCAGTTGAAGGACTTGCAGCCTGCTGTTGGAGCTAAATAGGAAGTCGGAGTAATTTTCGTCCTTCCCCACTTTAAGTTCTCACACTGACGAGCTCCTCAGTCCTTCACCCTTGAACGTGTTTTGTCCCACTTGCACTTCCTCTTCCATTATGTCCTTGCTGCTCTGCAACAATTCTATGAATCATTAATAAGAACATAAGGCAGCCTTTCTGGCAATAAAGAATATCCCTAAATCAGTAAGTCATTGTGAAAAGGGGGGCACTATGAAGAAATGCAAATTGCTGCTTCATCAAGGTCAATCTTTGGAAGTTAGAAGGTGCCGTCTCAATTTTAGGATGTGTTTAAATTTGGCTTTATAAGACTAAAAAAACCCAAACAAAAACAAATTTCTCTGAAAATGTGCTTGAAACGTTTTACAGTTATGCACCTGGACTTTATCAGCAGTAGTAAACACTGAAACACACAGGCATGTCTCTCCCCCCCCCCCCTTGATCCTGCATACACTTGTTTCTTGTGTAACTTGCTTTTACAGACTTCAAAATGCAAAAATCTATGAATTTTTTGCAGTATTCTGACATCTAGTGGCTGAATTCTGTCATTACTTTTGTATTCAATGCTATAGTATTTTCTAACAAAATAATTTAGGCAGCCTTTTAACCCCCTGAGATCCGAGTAAAACTAAAGTATCTTTCAGTTTAACTTTGTCTACTACAGAGGAAATACAGTTTGGGCTTCATCTCTGGAGGATGTGTTTGAAGAATACAAAAACTAGCTCTAGAGCAAACACCAACTCTTGTGACAGAGGTATAGCATGACGAAGATACAACACTCCAAGTGTCCTGAATGGAAATCTTTGGCAGATACCCATTACAAAGGCGCCAGACAATCAAAGAAATCAAAGATTTGGCTGGTGATTCCTTACATGTTTTTTGTGTCTTCATGCCCACTGAACCTAAAGTTTAACTTGGAAATTATGTGTACAAAACTTTCCAAATAAGCGCCCTGGGACATTTCAAAGATAGCTGCCAAAATTTACCTGAAGTAGTTACTGAAGTGTTACTGGGATAAACGTAGTTTTTAAAAGTCTATATATTATCTGTATCTATATACATCTCACTGGTTTTGTTAAGACATTCTGTGCCACACTAGCTTTAAAGTCACACAAAGAATAATTCATGAACTGCCAAACTTTATTTATAGATCAAAACAACGCACAGCATTAAAACATTTCAACACTGTAATGACATCCACCCACTGTCTGAAGAGAGTGAAAAGATGCAATCAAGCACTTCTGGTTTATCATCATGCTCAGAATTAACATTAGTCTGAAGATGAAAAATAATTCACCTTTTTTTAAAAAAAAGAAAAGAAAAATCTGACTTTTATTGTGTCAAAGCCCAAGCAGACGTAGGTGAAAGAACGTCACTGAACATTTTTTGTGATGCTTTAAAAAGCATTCAATCATTCATTTTTTGTGGTGTTTCAGAGTGTTTCAGATGACTTGTTAGTATGCAGCCTGCATTGCAGTGAAGCACCAGGTCCTATGACAGGACACGGTGGGATCAGCCCAGAAAGAGGATCGGATGGGAGGGGAAAGGAAAGTTTTTAAGGGTTCTAAGAGGTGGGAGGGGGATTCAGGATTCAGTTACAGATAACAGGAGGGGTTGGGGAGGGCTGATTTCGAGGCTTTGTGTTCATTTCTTTTTGGTTTTTGGCTCCAGGGGTTGGCCAATATCCTTCCCACGTAGCTTCAGTCCTGTTCATGGTCGAAGGTAAAAACATGTGGGTCATACAGCCGGGAAAATAACATAATTCAACATTTTGTTTTGGAAAAATTAAAAATAAACACACTTACCGATTGCTCTTTCTATTTTCCCCATGACCTGGTTGTTGGGAATGGCTCTCCCGCACTCATAGTCAGCAATGATTTGAGGCTTCTCATTAATTTTCTGAGGAAAAAGTGTGGAATAGATCATTTAGAACTTGTGGGTAGCACATTTCACATAACTGCAGGGTGATAATAAACACTGATTGTAAGGTTTGCACTGGAAAATTACTTTGCTAGCAAATACTTAAAAAAAAACAAAAAAAACCCACTCACAGCCAAAGTACAGTCATGGCTAA